TTTATTATTTGGATCCGACAGGGTTCGATATATCATACTAAGCTCAAACACAGAAGCTCTAGCACCTTTAGGGCAAACTAAGAACTATATTTCTTAGCTTTTCTGTACAGGTTGAAGCTCTCCAGTCCAGCAACATCTGTGGTCCAGCATGATTTTAGTTAGCTGGGCTATGCCACTTCTCATGGGCATAGCCAAGTTTCTCGAGGTCCCCTAAAGTTTGTTTACAGCCACCAGTGCTGGCTCTCAGTATTTTCTGCTGTGATTTAGTTATAATTTACCCCAAATGTCTTTGAAGAACCCAGTAAGCAGTGGAAGTGGTGGTAATGTTGCTAGACAATAACGACCTCCCGTGATCTGACAAATTATCTGGTTCGGCACCGATCAGGTCCCAAGGGTGCTGGACTAGAGGGGTTCAACCTGTAGTATTTTTAATATCAACCATTAAACCGTAAAGGGAGGGTGTGTGTGTGTGGGGGGGGGGAGAATAGAGAGAATTGTTCAAAATAGCAAACTATCAGCAGACACCAGTCGTAAAAATAATAGAAAGCAAAGAATCTCCTTGTAATTATTTAATGCCTACACAAGTATGGATTTGAAAATTGCAGATACGATATTTTGGACAGGAAGGTTTATTTTGTATATGAAGATAAATAATTTTCCTATTTTTTTATTCATTCTGTTTATCAATGTACTTTGTAAATAATAAACTGTGTGAAAAAACAAAATTTAAAACCACTTATTTCTCCGACATTTACACAAGGAAATACTTAAGTCCACTGCCTCAGATGCTGAATTGGTAGGGAGGTAGAATAATCCACAAAGTATTGTGCATTTTGAACTTGGACAGTTCTGTCCTATAAAGAGCATACCATACAAGTGCCACCAATCTTCATCCTATACAAGTCTGTGTCACCTTCAGTGAGCAAAAGAAAAAGACTGCTTAGACTGACCCAACGTTATACAAAGTGACCAAGTAGGGCAGGAAGTTAAACAGACTACAGAAAGCCCCCCAGGACTCAAAAAAGACTCCTGGACAAGATATGTGTCAGGATTGTAAGAGAATTTTTTTTAATAAGGAAAAATATCCCAACGATAACTCTTAGTAAGTTTTAGTATTTTGGAAGTTTGTTCCTGAAATCAATATTCGTATAGCAGGTACTATGCTTTTGGACACTTGAAGAAACCAGGAAATGAATTCATTAATCTTTTGCGAAACAAAACTTAAAAGCTGGCACAAGAGACGACAACATAAAGAGCCAATTTGTAATAAAGTGAAATATGTCCTTAAATTGTCAGAGACTGATTCACATGACCATACAAGTTAAAAATATAGCTTCTTTATCACAGCATACGAGACTCAAATTTATAATCCTTTGGTTGTAGAATGACTTCCATTGGAAACAACATTCAACCATTTTATATCCCACTGCTGGTTTTTAAACCCAGAGACAACAGTGTTCCCTCGCTATAAACTTCATCTACAAAATTTCACTACATAAAAAGTCAATTGCAATAACAATGGGAACACACATATACAGGTACTGAATTTAAACTAAACACTCACTTTGCCATAACATGGACTTGAAACACAAAAAATGAAATCTGTTTCTCTCAAACTGAGATCCCAAACCTGCATTCATTAAACTCTCAAAGAAACAGATAGGAGTACTGGGTGAGCACAGAATACAGGATTAGGCTACTAAGTTTAATTTACTCAGTGCAGTAGAGGGAAAGTGCATCTCCTTCCCTTCCTGCCCTGCAAAGTGATGAGGAAGAAAGGAGACAGAAGCTGGTCCCATTCATAAATAAATTCATTCCTAGCTCTATTGAAACACTTTTATAATTTCTTCAGTCTTTAATATAGTTAAATAAAACATGTATCTATCTTAATTAGACTCTTAACTGTTAAGAAACTGCATGTGTATTAGTAAGAATTGGACATTAAAATGTGCCTTTGGTAAGGATTTCTTATCCTCTCTACACAGCGTGTGCACACTAGCGACACATACACACTTCCTTCTAGCCTCTGATTTCCCTTCCAAAATGGCTCAGTGCACCTTCCTTTAATTTCTTTGGGGGAAATATCTTAATCTTGACAGGGAATACTTTCAACTGTCATTCATCTTTTGCTTGAAAATGTTATTAATTATCTTCATAATCACAGTAAAAGTCCACTGAGTCTGGCTGGTAACCCTGTTCCAAGCTTTAATATCACTACAATTCACATACAAGAAGGAACCCTCCAGCAGTGTTCTTGGTAAGATGAGTGCTTGGGAGAGATTCAGGTGTGGCCCTCTGATTAGCAGATCACCCACCCAGAAGCACAGGTTTCTACCAATGGTGCACCTCCGTACGTGCATCAGTGCACATACATTTATTCTGCACATGGATAAGTTTATTAGAGGAAGTACTGCCCTCCAATATAGATGATTTTGGCTGTTAGGCCTGGTTATGGATGTGAGAAATCCACACCCTTGACAGTGGCACTGTTAAGCTGCCCCAAGTCCCTTTGTAGACAATGTTAGATTGAGCTACACTGCCTCTAGAAGTGTATTATCTACACTGACAGGAGAACACCTCCCACCAGAATGGGTAGCGCCTATACTGAAGCAACACAGTTGCGTTCGTGTAGTGTTTTGTGTATACAAGCTCTTAGTGTAGCACCCCATACTTTATCACCCTCTCTGATTCGGAACTAGCACTCCTACAACCCAGAACTAGCACTGATACAACCCTGAAGTCAAAGCTGAATGGAAGACAATGATATGTGAGATTCGTTTAAGTTCAAAATATCTATTTTGAACAATTAGTTTCTGAAGACCGTGGACTTTTTAAACTTGATTCTTGGTAAAGTTTAATTCTAGCATGCAGTCCTTTATTGCCACAGTTATTAACATCACAGAATAGTCATTCTCCTTTAAGATCCAGAAGTAATGTTCTGGCCTGCTTTTCCATCTCCTATACAAAAATAAGATACAAACATAACTACTTTGGGCTTTCAGAAAACCACTCCCATGGCCAATAACTGAAGATTAGAAAGAAGATAAGAGCATCAGAATAGGAACACTGAATCTGTGTCATGCAGTTCACTCAGGCAATGCAACAACTGTAATGCCAGGGAGATTTAGAATATTTTGGTATGTGTATAGAACAGAGAAGAACTGTGATGTAATTTGGACCACTGTTGAAAATTATTTCTAATTTAGATCTATAGCCTATTCATGCCAACTCTGATGTTCCCAGACATTAGAAGTAACTTCATTTTTAACACAGATGTTCTCTCCCACCCCCCTTCAATGTGGTATAAACAAACTTTGTCCTTCATTCTCTAAACTCGAAGGAGCAGTATTTCAAGGTCACTCTTCATAGCAAATGAAGGCCTCACTCCAGCAACTTTCACTGCAGCACCATTTCAACTGCAAGAGCAATAAATAAATATGGAATACAAATATTTTATTCAGTTTGCCATGCAGCTCTTCTGTACTGAAAAACTTCTAAATTAAGAGCTCTCTTATTTTGTTTCCATGGCTGTTCTTTGCAGAACTACAGATCTTGTAAGACTGCTCTACTGCAGGAACATTCCAGTGACCTTCAATCCTTATTTGCAAATAAAAAGGAAAACAATGGGCTGCTTATACTTGTCAAGTGTTTTGTTGATGTTTGTACAAGGCTTCATTACTCACAAGAACTGAATAGTTACTGATTAGCAACCTATGTGCTAATGTTAGGTTTTATATACCCTAACCTAAAACATGGCATTATCTGCAAGGGCAACAGAATGTGCTGCACCTACTATGACTTTCACACTCTGATAATAGTAAGACTACTGCAATTTTTAAGAAGGCTGTATATGAAGTGACAGACAGTTTGTAGTGCATGCTATCTAAAGAGTTAACTGTCTTCATAAAGGATGTAATTTAAAGGATTAATGTAGTTCCTTTTCAGTCAGGCACTGGAGACATTATGAATAACCTGCAGTGAGAATGAAGACAGCAACATTTTAAACATCATTATACAGCCATTTTAAAGCAGTAATTCTATTCAGGATATACAGGGGGAAAGTTATGAAAGAATTTAACTTTATGATTCAGGGCCCTGAAGATGAAATCCTACAAACAGTAAAGCGTATCTGTATACAAATTCACAACAGTATTACTGGTGGTCTTTGTATCTTTAAAGTAAAAAGAAATGTGAAGAAAAATTCACGCAGAATATTACATTTTCTTCCTCTATGAAAGCGTCAACGCACTTGAACAAAGAAAAATTATTCTGAAAAATAGTTCAAGCTTTGAACCTCCATATTTGTTGCTTAGAATAAGTATTTTATATATCACTGTAATTCTTTGCAAACTGGTAGTTTCTTCATCCATCTTCTCTTATCTCTACTGAACTACTAAAACATAGTTGAAGGGCATGCAAAATCCAAACAGAACACAAGGTACAGTAGGTGTGCTGTAAGGTATGTAAGGAATGTAAAGTGGCCATTTTCTGAGACAGTTCAACTTATCTCCTCTCATTAAAGCTAGACAGTTTGTGATTTCCACATAAAACAAAAATTAAACTTACCAGGAACTGCATTAATTTTACATGCAGCTTATTATCCCTCTTCAGACAGGGAGAAGCAATTCACTCCTATCCATCCCCCACAAAAAAGGAAGAGGCAACAAAGGCAGCAAGAGATGCAGAGAAATGATTGCAGAATGTCCAATGCAGTACATAACTGAACAGCTGCCCTCTCAGCAAACTATTCGCCATTTTTCTTTGTCTTTCAGCTGACCCCTGCCTCACTGAAAAACTCCCGAGTCGCCAATGAAACACTGTGCAGCCTCCTTCCACTTTAACAGTCAAAGGCATTCAATCTACCATGCTATTTGACACCAAATCTTGCCTCCACTGCTATCTCATTGGTTAAGCTCCTTTATCTGTTAGGCTCACAGAGTCTGGATTGGCTGCTCATGTCATCACTAACCTCCATTGTACACTTCCTGTTTTAAAGTTACCTTGAGATGCAGAACAGGGGTCAGACGCAGACTTCAAACTAGAAGGAAACTTATATAAGGAAATATTTAGTAAACAGACATAATACAAAAACTGACAAGATATTTCTATCCAAAGGAATTGCTCTTGCATGCCTAACAGCTTTCCTGATACTAACGTACTATTTCCCGCCCCAAGGATTTCTTATTGGCTATCTGTGTTCCAATTAAAAAAATTAAGATAATGTAGGAGCTTCTGATTGGTCAGATAGGTTGTCTGTGTAGCATCAGTATAGTACCCTTTAGCAGTTAATCTGAGAAGACAGTAGGCACACTGGAAAGTTATTATGTGAAGACCCTATAGGGTTTTCTTTATTATAATGCAGGAAAAGACAGCCAGAGATAATTAAACTAACAACTTTAAATTTAACATAGCAGAATTGAGGTCATCTATATAAACCCTAGTCTCAATTATTTGCAGAAGGCCTATTATGGCTTTCCAAAACAGATCTGTCTTTCTAAATAATTGTATTTTAAAAAACAAGACAAGGCAGCTTTAAAGTTGACGAAATGAATACCCAAATCATGAAGAGCCAGTTACAGGTTGCACATGAACTAGGGTTGCCAATTGCTAAAACAGTTTTTATGGACAGTATAAGGGAAAAAATTACAGACAATCAAAGTTTTTTATACACTCATTCTGATGCAATATAAATATGCTCAAAAGGTTATTTCCTCAGGAAAATTTGGCATTGACCACTATGGGAAGACAGGATACTGGGCTAAATGGACCTTAGGTCTGATCCAGTCTGGTCGTTTTTATGAACAATATTCAGTGTTTTTATTCATACACCACAACGGCAATGTTATTATGCTAGTTTAACCTACTTACTAGACATATCTACATCCTCCAAATGCTCCAGTTTGTGATCATACATTGCAACAGCCACACTGTTAACCACTGGTTTAGTAATTTTTCCAGGTCCATTTTTGACAGTCAATCTTCCAGCATAGAAGTGACCAGTTTATTTCTTATATTTAAGTGACTGCCCTGCTGTGACTTACCAGGGAGAGCCTGTGGTAGACTGCTACACCCAGCCCATTGTACCCTGTTCCACAGAGCCCCCCCTCCTTCCCCCGACATACCAAGTCTGGCAGGGATATGTGCTACACACACTCCCACCAAAAGTTGCTGTTGTGCTGATACTAAGGATGCCACAGAAGGGTTCAAAGCCAGAGGCAAAGGGCAGCCCTTGCCAAGGAGCAGCAGCTTGGAGGGAGCCCCCTGACAGAAGAATTCACCTTTCTGCCTCTGTCCCGGGAATGGTATACTCTCTGGAGCTGCCTTAAGGTGCAGAACTTGCCCCAGGGACAAGTAGAAGGGACCTCTTAGCTCCAATGCAGAGGTTGGTGGGTTTGTGTGTTTTGTTTTTAACGGAAATCTAAATGTTTTTTATAGAGTCTATTGGTCTAGGACCAACTTTAGCTCTGTTTTACAGACTGCCTGTGAATTTACTGACAGTTGGCAACCCTGATGTGAACCCTTAACTCAGCTCACTTTGCAAATGCAGTAAAATACATGTCAGAACTTGCATGTACATTTTCTTATCAATCAGTAGTGTATAAGTGCAATTCAAGAAATGAGGCAGATACTGAAATTAGATAGATACATAGGAGACATATACCATTAATATTAACTGAGAAATATAAATAGTTGAAATATGTTTTACTTAGTATACAGCCTGTTATGAATAGTTCATTGCATATTTATCATTAGTGATTTTCATGGACTGTGTGGCACTCATAGTAGCAGCAGCCAGTAGTAGAATGTTACACAGATAGCATAACTGAAGAAAATAATACTGTATTTGGAAAAAAATCATCCAGGTAGAAACAGACATCACAAATGCCCTATTCCATTAACCTTGTGAGGTTCATAATGGGATCATTTTTTGAGGAGTACAGGATCTTTTGAAAAAGGTTTTTTCCCTGAAAGAGCCGTGTCTAGACAGTAGTTTCACTTTGAAGAAGCCCTTTTTCGAAAGAACGCACTGCCACCATTATGCAAATGAAGTCCGGGAAATTCAAATCCTGGCTTCTTTTGCAATTTCAATCTGTCTAATTTGCATCCCTCTTTCGAAAGAGGGATGTAGTCTAGACATGCCCATGAAATTCACTGCTTCACTAGGGGAAAGGAGTCCATGATACCCAATTGACCACTGACCTTACTAAACACTTCATGAATGAAACAAGAATGCCAAGATAGCCCTTTACCTACCTACTCTAATTATTTCATTCTGCAAGTGTTAACTGATTAAATGGGATTTTACATCCCTAGTGCAGAGTTAACCGGTTAACCAGTTATACACAATCAGTTAATTGCATAAACAGGCTCATCTGTTAGTGTGCATGGTTAAACACAGCCACTGTATCCCCCCTACACTGCTGCCTCTGTATCAGTGGCAGCAATGCCGGGGGAAGGGGAGGGAGGGGGAGTAGGCGGGAGCCAGTATGTACAGGGAGCCGGCTCTTAAGCCAGAGACACCTGCCCTGCTGGGGAGCTACCTGCTCCCCCTCCCCCGCCTTTACTTGTCTTATTTTTAAAATATAGAAACAGCAGCACAGTGGGAGGTGCGGGTGGGGGGCAGTCAGCTACCACCTATGTGTGACTGCTTTCAGTGGTTCCACATTTACTTTAATAAATTGCATTTAACATCCCTAATACATATAGGCTGTGTCTAGACTGCATCCCTTTTTCGTAAAAGGGATGCAAATTAGACATATCGCAGTTGCAAATGAAGTGGGGATTTCAATCTCCCCCGCTTCATTAGCAAAAAAGCTGCCACTTTTTTCCGGTTCGGAGCTTTGCCGGAAAAAAGCGCCAGTCTAGATGCGGATCTTTCGGAAAATAAAGCCTTTTCCGAAAGATCCCTTATCCCTCGTTTTAAAAGGGATAAGGGATCTTTCGGAAAAGGCTTTACTTTCCAAAAGATCCGCGTCTAGACTGGCGTTTTTTTCCGGCAAAGCTCCAAGCCGGAAAAAAGCGGCAGCTTTTATGCTAGTGAAGCGGGGGAGATTGAAATCCCCGCTTCATTTGCAACTGCGATATGTCTAATTTGCATCCCTTTTACGAAAAAGGGATGCAGTCTAGACACAGCCATACTGAAATAGAAAGGCATTTTGTGCTTTGGATAGGTATTTAGCAATATCTACAGAAGCAACTTATCTGTATTTTGCACAGCAGGTTTTAAACAAATTGTATCCCAAAATGTTTTCCACCCATGGTGTCCAACTAGATCTGAAGCAGTAGCTACTATAGTGGCTATAGCAAACTAGGCGCACTCAACCAGCCAAATAGCCAGATATGGCTACTGTGCGGGACACCATGGCTTTACACAGTTAATA